CAACTTGAGGCTCCGCCACCGGTTCTGCTGCTCGGGGCTGGGCTTTGCCCCTACCTCGGCCTCTAACACGGCCTCGGCCTCGCCCTCTGCCCCTAGTTGGTGCTGCTACTGGGGGCTCAGGCTGCTGAGCGGTAGATGAGGAAGCGCGCGTTCTCGCCATCTGCGACAGAACAGAGTAGGAATTCAATTAGCATTTGAGAAACAAAACCGCACGACAAGAAAGAACAAGTGTGAAGTTTTCCTAATTCCGTAGCCTCTGGGGGGATAAATACAAACGTCTCCGCACCGATCCCTCAGACTCTACCGAGCTTGTCCGGGAATTGTAAGACCTATGTAACCTAGAGCTCTGATACCAACTTGCCACAACCCGGATTTCCCCACCCTCGGGGGTCATGATGGCGCCTACTCGTAGAAGCTAGGCAAGCCACAAATCATAAACTCCTACCTACTTTATTTTAAATCCTTTGTATTAATCATAACAACAAGCATTAAATATTTAAATGACAGCGGAATATGAAATTAAACGGAAGCCTTAAATAAAATAAAAAACCAAATTATCTTGAAGACCAACACATGCCTCTAACCAGAACCTGGTGTCACAACATCCACGGACTGTCTAGGATTACTACAATTAAGTGTTTGAAAGAAAAGAACATAGTCTGTCTCGAGTACAAATGACAACAAAACATAAAACTGATAGAAGAGACGTCGGGCCTACGAACGCCAGCAGGGCTACCTCGGAGTCTCGGACTGAAAGATAGCTCCCAATCTACTGCTGATGACCAAATGCTACTCCGGGGCCTGGATATGTGCAAAAGAGCACAGAGTGTAGTATCAGCACAACCGACCACATGTGCTGGTAAGTGCCTAGCCTAACCTCGGCGAAGTAGTGACGAGGCTAGACATGACTACCACATATACCTATGCAGTTGTATAATATATAGCGGAGAGCAAAGTAGAAATAAACAAATAAAGGTGGGAGGGGGAAACATGTTGCGTGGAGATAACAGTTCCGAATAAAGCATCAAGTAAGGAAAGGAACAACATAACTACAATGTCAAAAAGAAGCAGAAATCAAATAAGTGCACGGCATCACCCTTCGTGCTTTTACTCTCGTCCTCACCAAGCAATAATATAATGAAAACGTGCACGGCATCACCCTTCGTGCTTTTACTCTCTTTCCTCACATATAATCAATAGAATTGGCACGGAATGGTACATCGTATGGCACAGCATCACCCTTCGTGGTTTACACTCTTTCCTCACAATAGCAAACAATGCACGGCATCACCCTTCGTGTTTTACACTCTTTCCTCACAATAGCAAACAATGCACGGCATCACCCTTCGTGCTTTACACTCTTTCCTCACAATAGCAAACAATGCACGGCATCACCCTTCATTCTTTTACACTCTTCCTCACCCAAACAACAATCACAAACAAGGGCAAGGGAAATAAACAAGAACATATAGGAATCCCGGCAAGGGAACAACGATTTAACAATTAAATCCCGGCACGGGAGCAACAAGTAAATAATTAAATCCCGGCAAGGGAACAACAATTACATAATTAAATCCCGGGAAGGGAATATTTCAATAACTCTTTCTCTATCTTTCACTTGTACTTCATAACTCACTTTACCACTTGAGCCAATGCTCCAAAGGGTTCAATCATCTCATATACTTTCACAATTCATAATATAACTCGAGCCAATGCTCCAAGATGTTCAAAAGTCTCAATTCCTTCCACAAACTTTTTACAACAACTAGAAATCATCACCAAAGCATGAAGGATACAATGAAATCAAATATTCACGATGTAAAGACTCACGGTCATGATAGACACCAACATATAGATACTCGTCACCATGCCTATACGTCGTACACGACTAATACCACATAGCAATTAGGACTCAACTCCTAATCCCTCAAGCTAAGGTTAGACCAAACACTTACCTCGATGCCTTGAACACAACTCAAGTCTCAATTATAGCTTTACCCCTTGATTCCACCGCCAATTCGCTCGTATCTAATCATAAATTACTTAATTACATCAATAAACACTAAATGAATCAACCCCAATGCATGAAATGAGTTTTCCAAAGTTTTACCAAAAAAGTCAAAAATCGACCCCGGGCCCACATGGTCAAAACCCGAGGTTCGAACCAAAACCCGATTGCCCATTCCCCCACGAACTCAAATAAATAATTTATTTTGAAATCGGACCTCAAATCGAGGTCCAAATCCCCAATTTTGAAAAACCTAGGTTCTACCCAAAATACCCAATTTCCCCCATGAAAATCTTTGATTTTAGGTTGAAATCATGTTAAAAGATAGTAATGATTGAGAGAAATGAGTAAAAACTAACTTACAATTGATTTGGAAGAAGACTTGTTCTTGGAAAATCGCCTAAGTGAGTTTGGGTTTGAGAAAATATGAAAAATGGGGTTCAAAATCGTTTAAGTGTAAAACTGCAGGTCTCCTATATGGGAAATGCGAACAGGGGTTCGCAATTGCGAACCCGACCTCTGCAGATGTGGGAATTGCGAAACAGGGTTCGCATTTGCGAACCCTTCAGAAATCCCAAACTTTCGCATTTGCGAAACAATAGTCGCATTTGCGACTTCGCATTTGCGAAGAAGAGATCGCATTTGCGATCGCAGAGGATTTAGGCGGCCATCGCATTTGCGATGCATGGCTTGCATTTGCGAGACTGGCTTCGCAAATGTGAAGCCTGCAGATCAGAACACACCAGCTATTTTTCAAAGTTCAAAATGCACCCGTGACCTATCCAAAACTCACCCGAGCCCTCGGGGCTCCAAACCAAATATACACACAACCTCAAAAACATCCTACGGACTTATTCGTGCAATCAAATCGCTAAAATAACGTCATAAACATCGAATTAAACCTCAAAATCCATGGATCCTTTCTAACTTCTTAAAACATCAAATTTTCCAATTTAGGTCTGAATCACGTCAAACGACGTCCGTTTTCAACCAAATTTCACAGGAATGACTTAAACCATATATAAAACCTGTACCGGGCGCCGGAACCAAAATACGGGCCTGATACCAACACGTTCTAATCACTTTTCACTTCAAATTTCCTTAAACAATTTCAGAAAACAATTTTACTAAAAAATTCATTTCTCGGGCTTGGGACCTCGGAATTCGATTCCGGGCATACGCGCAAGTCCCATATTTTCCTACGAACCCTCCGGGTCAAATCACGGGTCCGGGTCCGTTTACCCAAAACATTGACCAAGGTCAAATTTATTCATTTTAACATCATAACTTAGCATTTTTCACAGAATTTCATATTTAAGCTTTCCGGCTACGCGCCCGGACTGAGCACGCAAATTGAGGTGACTCTAAATGAGGTTTTCAAGGCCTCGGAGACACAGAATTCAATTAAAAATAGGTGATGACCCTTTGGGTCGTCACATTACACAAAGAGAACACGGCTTAAAAGAAGGATAGAGTTAGAGGATGAGATCAACTAGAACTCTTTCACCAAGGAAGAGTAGCATCAGAATTCTAGTTAATCTCTATTTACTAACTCCATAAATACCAGTGTTGTTCTCTTTTACAGGCAACACACATAAGCACAAGTTGAACGTGTGCAAACCTGAAGCTACTTGAACCAGATAAAAGAACCAGTTCCAAGTGTCTGTCTTTTATTCTAGTTCAATTGTAGTAGGTGTTTTCATATTGTACCTTTCAGCTTATCTAGAAGCAATTGTATTAGGTACTCAGAGTTTTCAAGTTAGAGTTAATTTGAAGTTGTCGCAACAGTTGAGGCTGTGTGCTAAAACGGGATTAGAGTTAATCCTAGGTTTACAAAAGAGTTTTTGTAAATGTAGTTTTTGGCTCAGTGATTTTAGTGGAGAGTTTGGGAAAATCCTACTGGAAGGTAGATCGTGGTTTTTTCACCTTTTGAGCCAGGTGTTTTCCACGTAAAATCTTTGTGTTCTTTAATTTCTGTAATTATTATTCCGCAACAGTAGTAGTTGGAACACATAGAAGAACCAGGTCCTTCTATAATCAAGTTAAGCGAAAAATTGGGTACGACACAAATCATCCCCCCCCCCCTTGTGTGGTATTGAAGTATAAAACATCAACCGTGTAACCAGTACCAAAAGGATCCAGATATGGTAAGCAAATAGTGGTCGAATCCCATTATCAGTGGGATTAGGAGAGGGAACTAGGGGGGCGGCTATGGTTCTTCAGAAGAGAAGGGGAGATTGAGAGCGTTTAGGGGCGGCGGGTTAAAGGGGAATGGGTTAGGGTTTCAGGTCTAGGGTAATTAAAAGGGTGGGGTGATTGTAGACCATTGATCTTGAAAGATCAACGGTTAAGATTAAGGGATAAATGGGGCGGGTCGTTTAAAACGGGTACCGACCAGGTTAAGGGGTCGTTTGAATTGGGCTTTGGGTGTTATTGGGCTAAGGTATGGGTGCTTGGGCCATTGAATTGGTCCGCAATTAGCCTTGTATTAGGCTATTAATTAAATACATGAAAATTGTTTTAAAAATTAATTTATAAAAATTAATTAATAGATAATAAAATATTACTTGTGTAGTAAATTGATTAAAAATAATAACTTAACATTATAAAAATATAAAAATGCTATTTTAGCCCAAATAATGTAATTATGCATAGCATATAGGCTATTATTGCAAAATTATCTAAATAGCCTAAAAATACAAAATATAATTATATAAACCAAAGTAAAATATTATGAAGCATATATATGGATGCAAAAATAATAATTTTGGATGATTACAAAATAATTTAAAGGGTAATTAATAAATATTTGAACAATCTAAATGCAAGAAAATCAATAGAAAATGCTTGCATAAGTCTTGTAAATTAAATAATGATGCAACATGATATTTTGAAAGTATATACACTTATTTGAAAAATGTGAGGGCAAAATTGGGTATCAACAACTATAGGTTGTATGGTGTGGAGAATATAAATATTTCTGTTAGCAGAGATGTGGTGTTTAAGGAACTCAGTTTTCCTTTTGAAAGAGTTGCAGACTCAGACACTTCAGAGGATCTGTTCACTTCTCAGCAGTCTTTTATAGAGACTGGTGTACACCAACACATGCAACTGTAATACCAGCTACACAACAAGATATGCACATACCAACTGATGCAAGCAATACTGCAGAAGTAGAAAATGCGAGTAATGAACTATACATAGAACATGCATGAGTTGTTGAAGAAAATGAGACTGAAGACATAGTGAATGAGAATCCTATTCCTGAACAAGTTGAGACAGCAGAATTTCAGGAACCTATCTTGGATACACTAGAAAAAGCAATAGATAATGAGCTGCATACATTGGAAGAGGCAACAATGGAGTTGCATGCACCACCAGCATCAACAGAAGCAGAAACTAGAAAGTCTAGTCAACAAGGAAGACCTTCTATTTGGCTTAAGGACTACATAACTACTGGCAAGCCACACAGTAATAATGCCTACTCCATTTCTACTTTCATCTCCTATGACCATCTATCACCTGCATATCAATCTTATCTCAGTGTATTCTCAACTCTAACTGAACCATATTCTTTCAAAGAAGCTGCACATGATCCAAGGTGGGTAGAAGCCATGGACCAAGAGGTTAAAGCACTTGAAGAAAATCACACCTGGGAGATAGTTGACTTGCCAGAAGGCAAGAAACCAATTGGCTCTAAGTGGGTGTTCAGGATCAAGTACAAATCAAATAGGGAAGTTGAGAGATTTAAAGCAAGATTGGTTGCAAAAGGATATACTCAACAAGAAGGGTTGGACTACCATGAGACATTCTAATCAGTTGCAAAAATGGTAACTATGAGAACTGTCCTTAGCATAGCAACTTCAAGGGGATGGATCATTTATCAAATGGATGTCAATAATGCCTTTTTACAAGGAGATCTCTATGAGGAGGTCTACATGGTCTTGCCCCAGGATTTCTAGAGACAGGGGGAGAATAAGGCTTGCAGGTTGTTGAAATTACTCTATGGCCTGAAACAGGCTTCAAGACAGTGGAGTATTAAACCCACAGATGCACTAGTAGGAGCAAGATATCAACAGAGTGCATATGATCACTCCTTGTTCACTAAGAAGACAACACAAGACATTGTTGTCATCCTGGTGTATGTTGATGATCTTTTGATCACTGGTAGTAATATGTCTTTTGTGGAAGAAGCTAGAGTGCATTATACAATAAGTTCAAGGTCAAAGATTTGGGTGAACTCAGATACTTCTTAGGTATAGAAGTAATGAGATCAGATAATAGGATGTTGTTGAATCAGAGAAAGTATGTACTAGGGTTGATCTCAACCACAGGACTAGCTGCAGCCAAACCTGTCTCTACCCCTATGGAGCTTGATAAATGATGAAAAATGCATGTTTTGATTATGTTTGCATATTATTTCTTGTGTGAGTTGCGGGAGATTACATGTTTATAAACATATAATATGCTCATTTCATGTTTATTGTGTTTAGGAATGAATTTGAATGAAAGTTGGCAAGAACTGGATGATTTGATGCAAAAAGCGTAGAGATGCAAGACCTGGGAGCGTGCCACAATTGGTGCTGGACCTGGCACGCAAAAAAAAACAAAGAAAAAGAAGAAATAACTGGGAGCGTGCCAGAAGTCGCGCGTTGCACCAACTCTGGCACGCGACTCAGCATGTCCTTTTCGAATTAGGAGAGATCAAGGACGCCCCACATCAACCCTAATTGATATAAATACATCATAAAACGTCCTTTTGAAGGGAGAGACACAACTTTAGGATAAGACAACACCCAAGGAGGCGAGAATACGCTAGGAGCAAGAAGGAAGATTTAACCACGAGTTTTTCCTTTCTTTTTCCTATTTTTCATTGTTGGTTATGACTTTTAGTATTGTAGTTTTACATACTATTATGAGTAGCTAATTTATTGTCTATAGTTTTATTGGAACCTCTTGTGGGATGAATTCCTGTTATATTTTAATACAATTTAACCTTTGAATTTATCTACTTGTTCAACTACGTGCTTATTTTAGTTGATTGAATGGCCCTCGATCGACTGTGCATATTTAGTATGTGTTGCTTGAGAAAGGATATATATTTAGGTGGTTGTTGAACAACGTCACTCCTAAGGTATATGAGAGATCAATACGGCCGGTTTAAAAGCGGGATTAGAGATAACGAAGCTTTGACGTGATCATAGTGAGCGGTGAAAAGTGCAAGCTAGCTTTATTCGAGAGAATATGACTAGTACATTATTGTAGTTGCTCGAGAGAGAATTACGATAAGTCGAGTGCTCATGATTAGTAGAGAATAATTAGGAGAAACTATAGAAGACATAACGGGAAGGATTCCGACAATTGGGGAAATCATAACTCTAGACCTCCTTAATTTAGTCTCCAACCCTTAGTATCTTTAGTTGTTAATTTACTACTTTACTTTGTTAGTTAATTAGGTAGATATAAGAATCTTAATCTTTATAACTTAGGAATTTATTCAAGCTTGTCTTCTTAGTGATATTGAACAGTTATAGCGAAACCTTAGTTCTCTGTAGGATTCGACTTCGGACTTTTAGACCGGATTATATTTGCAGCGACCGCTTATCCTTTTTAAGACTATAGTTGGGCATGATCAGAGCTTAATCAGAAACTAAATACCATAGACTATGACAAACATGTAGGACACAATGGAGATGAGGAGCTGCAGGATGCGGCATGTTATCAAAGACTAGTAGGCAAACTACTATATCTGACTATCACACGACCTGATATTTGCTTTGCAGTGCAAGTATTATGTCATTTTATGCAACATCCTAAGCAGTCTCACTTAGATGATGCACTTAGGATGGTCAGGTATATTAAGGGTTCTCCTAGTCTTGGTATCGTCCTCAAGAAGGGTCATATCTCTCATCTTTCTGCCTTTTGTAATTCTGACTGGGCAGTATGCCCCAATATAAGGAGGTCTATAACTGGGTATGTTATCAAACTGGGGGACTCTTTATTGTCTTGGAAGTCAAAGAAGCAGCAGACAGTGAGTCGAAGTTCAGCTGAAGCTGAATACATAAGCCTTGCAGCAGTTGCAGGTGAAATTACTTGGTTAGTTGGATTGTTGAAGGAGTTGAACATTGCAGTACATCAATCAGTTGATCTTCACTGTGACAATAAAGCTGCTTTCAAATTGCAGAAAATTCCTTTTTCCATGAAAGGACAAAGCACATCGAGATAGATTGTCACTTTGTCCAGGAAAAAATTAAAAAATGGATTACTTGCACCTTATTATATTTCGACAAAGCTTCAGCTAGGTGACCTTACGACAAAAGGCCTTTGGGTCGCTCAACATTCTTTTCTTCTCTCCAAGCTAGGGGTGTTCAATGCTTTTCCACCCTCCATCTTGAGGGGGAGTCTTGGGATATAAAGTTTTGTCTTGGGATATAGAGGATAAAACTGTACATATTAGAACTCTAGGGTGAATTAAAGTTAGTTAAAAAGAAGGTTAATGTGGTTAAATTGGTTAGTTGACAGCTGTAGATGAGCTGTCAGTTAGTTAGTGCATATGTGCACTATAAGACCATTGTACTCTGCTTCTTATGTCTCAGACGAAATACATTCTCATTTCTTCTTCTCTCTATCTTCTCAATTGTTATTTCTACTCTATCGTTTTCACAATAACCACTGGTGTTTTAGCTAAAACATTACTTCAAATATTACCATAGCTTTCAATTAGCCCCATAAGAAACTGCAGTAGACGAATGTTCTTCAAGTGTTCGACAGAAGGCCTTGACTCTTTGCAGTCACATGAAGCTAAAGGTGCTAATACATCTAGTTCATTCCATAGATCCTTCATCTTAGAATAGTGACTAATGACAGAATCAGTTCCCTGCCTTAGAGTTGCAATAACATTCCAAATGTGATAGATTCTCATCAAATTGACCTATCAAATCTCTCTTGGAAATCATTCCATACCTTTTTTGCATTTGATGCATATATGATACTTGACATCAATTCATTTGAGACAGTACTTCCAATCCACGAGAGCACAATTGCATTTCATTTCTCCCATTGCTCTGCCGATTCATCTCTATACATGCTTTTCACACAGGATCTATCCACAAATCCAAGCTTGCTCTTTTCCTAGAGCACCAATTTCATTTTCCTGCTCCACAGTGCATAGTTTTATGGTCTTGTGAGCTTGAGCGGAATTAAGATAAGTCCTGGATCGTTTGAAGCTTGCAAAAATAGCGGATGGTTGTGATCTAGTGAGCTGACCTCATGTTAGTATGCTGTATTTGTAAAATAATTCTGAAAATATAAATGAATATAAACAGGAATGAACATAAACAGAAATGACAGAAAACCAATTCGAGCCCACTGAATTCACAGTGTTTCCTTAAGGAATTTAATCCCCTCCTAGTACCCAAGGTTATGGATTATTTCCTCCCAGGATAGAACGAATTACACACTGGTGTAGTGGTACTGCAAACCCCAGTGTTTCAGCGAACACAAAGTTCGGAAGCAAATCACACTTACTTTTACTTTGTTTGATGCTAAAAGTATGCAGAAGAAGGAGAAGAAACTCAGAAAATCGTAGTGAAATTCTGAGCAGAATAGTGTTGTATTTATAGCCAAAGTTGGGCTGAAATCTGAAGAGGTGCAACTCTTCAGAATGGCCGTTTATGCAAAACAGGCACAACATAAATGTCATTACATAAATGGCCATTTACTCAACAATAAAGAGGAAAAATAAAGAGGGAAAATTGAAGGTAGTTAATTTTCTGTTACCAAAACAGAAAAACGGATTGGATTTAATATTAATATTCTGTTATTAAAACAAATATTTAATAACATTTCTGTTAATATTTTACTATTAACAAATAAATTTGGTCCAAAAAGTTAATCAATCCGGAGCCGAGCCGAGCCGAGCAAGCAACGACGACGGCGCGAGGTTTGCCTTCTTCTCAACTCTTTAAAAGCTAGAAGAAGAGCGATTGCTTATATACCCATAAAAAACCTCTTCTTCTTCCAATATGGGACAATGTCCATTTACGGGAGGGAAACTTAAAATTTTACTCAAAAATTTCATTTCCCTCAATTTCTCATTCACCCTCTTTTAAGTATTAAATATATTAATTAAATACATAAAAAAAACCCTACACCTCATTCTCTGCCATAGCTGCTCGAAATTGAAATTCCTCAGATCTACGTTTCGCCGGAAAATTGATCGAAATTACAGTCCTAGTGATCCTCGCTCTGCTGATACCATGTTGAATTGCAGCTAACGATAGAGTAGAAACAACAATTGAGAAGATAGAGAGAAGAAGAAATGAGAATGTATTTCGTCTTAGGCATAAGAAACAGAGTACAATGGTCTTATAGTGCACATATGCACCAACTAACTGACATGTCAATTTAACATAATTTCAGTAACACCATCAAAAGATAACTTTCACAAAACATTTGTGTAGATACTTCCTCAAGTTTACATTTTATACTCTTTATTGGCCCTTGAGAATCTGTATGTTGTTCGGTTTATTCAACTGGTGTCCGAAACTCACTAGCTAATTAATCTGAAGTTTGTTGCGTATTACCTATCAAAAGAGAAAACTCTCCCACCAGAAGTTTCTCCATTGCTAGGGCTAAAATTTGAAAATCTATAGTTATCATGGAGGAATCTCATCCATTCGGCCACCACATCACTTAGGGGTGAGAATCTAATATTTTTTTAACTTAATTAATTCGTTGAGGAGAAGAACAATGGTGAATCATTTGAGATGAATTAATGCATTGATAAATGTCATAAATTAAAGTTAAAGTAACA